TTAGAAATGGTTTTGCAATTGCTGATGCAGAACTGCTACCACCAGGTAGTATCTGTCAAGTGGATGGCCTCTGTGTTGTTGCTGTTGGGTGTACACTAGCCCTATGCATTTGCCTGACAGAAGGAACAAGAAAGGTGGACTATAAATTAAGTAAATAAATAACCTGGTATATTACTCTTGCATGTGATTCAGATTCTTTTGACATACTTGCATGGGATTCAGATTGTTTTGAAAAACGTTGGGGGGGGGGGGAGACTGTAGGAATAGGTTGTACCAGTTCACATTCTGATTTTCCTGCAAAGAAGATGTATCATGTCTCTGTTTGTGAGGTCTGAAATTGAAAACATATTTTCAGTTTTGGTGATCAGCTATGGAATACATGAACTAGAAGTAGCTCTGAGCATGTGTAGAGTGCTCACCCTGAATTACCACAGCCACTCTGCACCGGGAGAAACTTTTAAGGGAGAGAACTCTTCAGCCAGGCTATCAAAAATAATGCAATGACTGGAAGGGTAAACTCTGTATTAGCAACTCTGTTTTTGCATAGACTTGGGGAAAAGGCATGGGCCTCTTGCACACTAGCAGTTGCAGTCTGTACAGCTATCATTCAGTGTCTGGAGTATGTACGTATCTAGACTCCGAAGCGTTCTTGATGCTTGGGGTGTGGCCTTATGACACACTTCCGGTGATGTCAGGGGGCGTGGCCTCATGACACACTTCCGGTGATGTCAGGGGGTGTGGCATATGCTAATGAGTTATGCTAATAAGCTCCAGCAGCTCTTTTTCTACAAAAAGACCCCTGAAGAGACGTTTGAGATGCCACTGGGCCCCAAGGGCGAGACCAGAGAAGAAGAGGCTTAAGATTGGTGGTTTTAGCCCTTTGAAGACGGAGGAAGACTGGGCTGCAGAATTTGGAGTGAACGTCTACGAAGTTATTAAGATTTTAGAGAGTCTTAGTATAGATGTAAAGACGGAAAGACTCTGGAAATTGCCTTTATGAAGCAAGCTGGAGGAGATGCTCGGGAAATCTTCTCATAACAAGTAACAAACTAACATATAAGCTTAGAAATACAGGTTCTCACAAAGTATATAGTTTATTAACAGCCTTTTTTTATTACTAACGGTAGCTTAACAGGGAATGATCTCCTAACCTTGGGTTTTAAGTTTAGTGTGGGTTGCTTTTATTTTTTCCCTAGCTGTAGTTACCCTATCCTTATTTTTCTTGGTAGTTTTTGTAGTATTAAAAAAATAAAAAATCCCCTCCGGGGGCTTATAAAAATGTTATAAAGGGGAAAAAGCATCAGACCACCATCTAAGCAAAGTCATTCCATTTCAACCTCAGTTGTCAATCTATAAAATGACAATAATAGATATTCTGATCCTGCCTAAATCCCTTGATTTCAGTATGCTTTTGCATGTTTAATTCTGCATTGGACCAAGCAATTACTGGTGAGTTCCTTCTAAATGGAGCTCAAGTTACACGTGCAAGAGAATTATATTGGAACTAGGAGTAATGCCCATTGTGGGAAGAAATACAACGGGATCTAGAAGGAAGCTCCAGATGAATGGCCCGACTGTGGCCGGCAGAGGGAAGCGGAAAATGGAGGAAGGAAAGCCATGTTTCTTTCCTTCTGCTTAGCCATAAGGCAGGGCTGTCTTAAGTCATTTTGCTGCCCCAAGTGGGTAGAATGGGAGGACAGCCTCATGGTAACAGATATGGTTCTCTCCACCTCTGACTTAATTTTTGAGGGGGAGGGGGGTGTTATGCAGTGGGAGCTAAGGTATAAAAGCACCTCCTCCTGTGCCATGTTTTCTGGGTTCCAAGGGTCTGGAAAGTGGTACCATAGCTGATTACACGGTTGCCAACTCTGGGTTGGGAAATACCTGTAGATTTGAGGGGTAGAGCCTGGTGAGGGCAGGGTTTGGGGTGGGGAGGGACTTCAGCAGGGTATAATGCCATAGAATCTACTGCCCAAAGCAGCCATTGTCTCCAAGAGAACTGATCTGGGTCATCTGGACATCAGTTTTAATAGCTGAAGCCCTGACTGCTACATCACATTGGCTGTCATACAGGGGCCATCTCAGCAGGATATAAGGACACAGAGTCCACCATTTTCTCCAGGGGAACTAATCTCTGCCATCTGGAAAGCAGTTGTAATTCTGAGTGATCTTTAGCCCCCACCTGGAGATTTGCAACCATGGTTTCCCCCAACAGACACTAAGGGGAAATTTATTTTACCTCAGAACATCAACAGCAAACTGTTTAGAATGTTAGAGGGAAAGGCCATTGAGGCTGCATATGCTAACAACCTCTGTGTTCCGAGGCAAAGGCGAATCAGGCCACATATGCAAATGATCTCTGTGTTCTGACTGGCTGTGGGGGGGAGAGGACTGTTTAGAATGTTGGAGGCAGGACTCAGTCAAAGCAGCCAGTGGATAGGGAGACCCTCTGAATGACATATCAGAGAGCGAACTGATTTTGGAGCGTGTTGGAATGTTCAGAGGAGTCCATGACCAAAATAGAATTATATATACTGGAGGATGATATGGTGAGATACTGAGGTAGAAGAACGGACTGTGCTATGTGGGATTAGAGCTGAAGGGTTACATTTTGGAATGTCCAGCTACAATATTAGAAACTGTAATCAGAAAAACAAAACAGCATGCAAATGGAAGGGGGTAACAGTTTTTTCCATACAGAGCTTGTTCTCTGCTTGCATGGAGATTTTTATGCAAAGGAGCATTAAAAACTGGGATCCACTACTTGCAGTTGGAAGTGACATCAGCTCTTCCACCATCTCATCCTCCTCCAAGTGTAAGCCAGACCTTAGAATCAGACAGTTACTTGAGCTCTTGTAGACTACAACACTCTTCTTCAGATGGCCTAGTATACGGCTCATGGTTCATGATCCTTAACTGGGTTTTGGAACTTCACCTATTGGATGGGCTGCAAGTTCTAGTGAGCAACCACATATATGCTGGTTTTTAGAAGAACTGGCTGCTGGTGTGCATGTATAGAGACCAGGGCACCACACCTCCTGTTTCCCTTCAAACACTTGCTGAGAGGGGCAGCAGGATAGAGAGGCAGGGTCACTCAATGGAGGAGAGAATTCCTCCATGGCTCTGGGCCAGTGTTCCCTCTAAGCTGAGTTAGTGTGAGCTAGCTCACAGTTTTTTAGCCTCCGGCTCACACATTTTTGTCTTAGCTCATGAAGGAGGGCTCCAGAGTAACCTAATTTATGCAGTAGCCAAGTTGCTCGCTCACAACTTTGATGCCAGTCGCTCACAAAGTGGAATTTTTGCTCACAAGACTCCACGGCTTAGAGGGAACATTGCTCTGGGGCATAACTAGGTTCCTCATTCTGGTACACCTTCTGGTGCTCAATTTGTTTCCTGTCACTGGTTCTCTGGATCCGCTGACCATGGTTCTGACCTTGACACTAGTTTCTCTGACTTGTTATCTCCCTATCATGTGACTGCCTGTTCCATGACTGCAGTTCACTGGATGTATGGAGATACAGCTGCAGAGGTGGTCCCTTGCTCTAGTCCACAAAAGCTTATGCAGGAACGAAAACTCATTAGTCTTTCAGGAGTTATAATGCTCCTGTATATTTTTGCTGCAATAGACTAACACAGGAAATTGTCCCTCAAAAACAATTACAGATGGGTAGCTGTGTTACTCTTCTGTAAAAAAATAAACATGAGTTCAGAGGCATGTTAAAGTCTGAAAAATGTATTCCAGCTTCAGTTTTCATGAGTCAGAGCTCACTTCATCTTACGTACTGGAGTGAATATCCATTAGGTTCATGCTTTTATAGTAACAACAGAATAGATTCCCCCCCCCACCTTTCTGTTGTGACTATAAAAGCATTGACCCCATGCAGGGGTCGCTAATGTCTTCTTCACTGGAAGCTATTTCTGAGCAATGGAAAAATATCCCAAGCTACTTTTGTACTCCATCATGTTAACCAAAGTTTGTTTTGTCCTTGAAGCAAAACATAGACTTAGAAGCACACCAGGAATGAAATTATCACACAAGGCGCACAGAAAGGTTTATGGAATAAAAGCTTTTTAAAAAATGCCTAGAGCACATCTTTTTGTGATCTTTCCCTCAGCCCTCCAGGGAATACACAAGCAGCTCTGCAGCAGCCAGCGAGCCATCTTTCGGAGGCCCTTGCCTTATGGATATACCCTCTGGTGTATATGATGCTCTGACTCCCAACAGCTTGTGCTGGGGTAACTATTCTTAGTTTTAAAGGTGCGACTTGAATTCTGCTTTGTTCGGGTGGTTCAAGGTGGGTCCCAGGTCTAGAAAGCCTGGACCACTGCTCTAGGTCACACAAGGTTATGGTGGAATACAAGGTACCACGTGACTCCTGTGTAATGTTTGCTGTAATAAACTAGTATAGCTACCCCTCTGGTTAGGGGCAACTCTGAACTGGGAAAATCCTGGAGATTTCAGGGCAGTTTGAGGGGAAGCAGCTCAGCAGCAGAGATATGATATCATAGAGTCCACCCTCCAGAGGAGCCACTTTCTTTAGACTAACTGCTATCTGTCAGTTGTAGTTCCAGGGGATCATCAGGCCCCGCCTGGAGGTTGGCAACAGTAGGAATTATCACCATGAACGATGCACTGTCTGGGGGTATGCTGCCCTTCCCCAGTTCCGCATATTCACCTTTGGGTATTGTAGTACAATTTTATTTTATTCTTTAAATTTATTGAGAGCGCTGTCCCCCCGTGCCTCCTTCATGCCCTCAGCTCACCCGGCCCGAGGCTGCAGACAGCACCTCCGGGTCGCGTGAGGTATTTATAGCCCTGCCCACGACGGAGCAGCTGCCGCTGCTGCCGCCGCCTCCGCCGGCCTGATCCGCTCTGCGAGCCAAGCGGCCCCGCGCCCGGTGGGCGGAGGCAAGCGGCGGGGCGGGTCTTGCGGGCGCGCGCGCCTGCTTGTACAGCTCGGAGCCCCGGCGCCGGGAGAATTCCACCTGCAGCCGCCCAGGGAGACGCACCAATGAGTGGCGACGCCGGCTGCAAAGGCGGGATGGAGGAGGGTAAAAAAAAAACCCCACCAAAAGACCCTTGAACCCTAAACAAAGCATCCGAAGCGTTTGCTGGCTTCCCCCCTCCCCTCACCGGCGCGCGGCCGAAAGCGGGTTAACCTTTTAATATATTTTGTAGGATGAATGAGCGGGTGGCGCGCTGCCGTTGGGCGGCTGGTGGTGAGCGGCTCCTGGGAAGCAGCTCTTCTCCTGAGGGATGGCCGGCTGCTGGCCACTTCTTTGTTCTTGGTGGTGCTTGGGAGAGTTCCCTGCTCCCCCCTCCCCGCCGTCCCTTCGGAAGCTGCTTTACCTGGCCAGGATTGCTGCGCCCCGCCCCCCCCCCCCCCGGCAGCATCTTCTCACTCGCTTTCTTATGAATAGACCAGCAAGGCGAGTTGGGACAGGCACTTTCCTCCCTTGCACTCTCAGAGGGAAGGAGGGGTGAGTCAGGGATCTTTCCCCTCCAGTGAAGTGACTAATGCTTTTCTCTCTCTCTCATTCTCTCTTGGTACACTTATCAGTTATGCCCACTGACTAATTTCTAGCAGTGTATACAGCTCCCTTGGAAACGGGTGGGGACGAAATGGCCTTTTTAGGCATGTAGCAACAACAGCAACAACATGAAGCCCTTCGTGCACTTCCACTCAGTTTTTAATAAATTGTATGAGGGGATGTGTGGCCTAAAAACAATTGCTGCAGGAATTGACAGCAGAAATGAAACAGGAGGGAGTCAGTAGCCCTTCGAAGACTAACAAAGTTTCTCCCAGCGTATGCTGGAATAAATGCTGTTAGTCTTTAAAGTGCCACTGGACTCCTGTTATATTTTTGCTGCTATAGTCTAATGCATCTCTGCATCTGAAATTCTCATGTAAGTCTCTCAGTGTCCTCTAAATGCTTAAAAATGAATCGAGGTGATGTGCATAAGAAAATATCGATATTGAAGCAATGCTCCAGAGGATGATAAACAAGATCTCTTTGGAGTATCTGTTGCTTTATTGAAAAACTAAGTGTGGTTGCTCTGAAATTTTTTTGCACAGTTGCAGCAAAGTCCATGGAACTAGAGCAGCAGTCCCTCCCCACATTTACTTGGAAGCAGGGCCATAGCCAGCCGTGGGGGGGGGGCACAGAGGGTGGTGCACCCTATAGAATCTTCAGCGCCCCCACCGCTGTCTACCCCCTCCTCTGAAAAGTACTTTGCCTTTTAAAATCCATGCCAGTCCACACCGGCCCTTGTAATCCTCCCTCCCTCCCACTACCTTTCTTTTTCATTCACACCAGCCTGCACCAACCCTTGTAATCCTTCCTTCCTTCTTCCTCCATCCCCCCCCCCCACCAATGGGAGGAGGAAGAAGGAAGGGAGGGGACAGCAAGGAGGAAGAAGGAAGGGGGGGGGAAGGAAGGAAGGAAGGATTACAAGGGCCGGTGTGGGCCTGTGAGTATTAAAAGGCAAGGTAGCTCTGCATGCCCGAGGCTCCTTCCTCCCCTCCAGAGAAGTAAGTACCTGGCCTTGTGGGGCTGACCTGACGCTAATTTAATTAGCCCCCTGGGAAGCCGATGCCCCCAACAAATAAATTCCTGACTATGGGGCTGCTTGGAAATAAATCCCTTTGAACTTGGTAGGACTTACTTCTGGATAAATGTGTAGCATGGAGTTTCAGGGTTATTAAAATAAGACTTGTCAATAGGACTGGCTCAGGGTAAACTATTGTGCAGGGTAGAATGAGAATTCAAATGTGGTTCTTCCATGGCCTAGTCTGGAATTCTGTCTAACGCACTGAACTGGCTGTACTCGATGAACAAAAACTATTGAGGCAGACTCAGCATGGGTTCTGTAAGGGAAGATCTTGTCTCACTAACCTGTTAGTGTTCTTTGAGGGGTGAACAAGCATGTGGACAAGGGGGATCCAATAGATGTTGTTCACCTTGACTTCCAGGAAGCTTTTGATAAAGTTCCTCATCAAAGGCTCCTAAGTAAGCTCAAAAATCACAGGATAAAAGGACCTTTCGTGGATCAAAACCTGGCTAAACAGAGAGTGAGTATAAATGGGAAATTTTCTCAGTGGAGGGTGGTGAGCAGTGGGGTACCGCAGGGATCAGTACTCGGTCCGATGCTTTTTAACTTGTTCATTAATGATTTGGAGTTGGGAGTAAGCAGTGAAGTGGCTAAATTTGCGGATGATACGAAGTTGTTCAAGGTGGTGAAAAACGGAGGATTGTGAGGCACTCCAAAGGGATCTGTCGAGGATGGGTGAGTGGGTGTCAATGTGGCAAATGGGGTTCAATGTGGCCAAGTGCAAAGTGATGCACATTGGAGCCAAAAATCCTAACTATAAATGCACGTTGATGGGGTCCGAACTGACAGAGACTGACCAAGAGAGAGATCTTGGAGTTGTAGTAGATAACTCACTGAAAATGTCGAGACAGTGTGTGATTGCAATAAAAAAGGCCAATGCTATGCTGGGGATTATTAGGAAGAATATTGAAAACAGATCAGCCAATATCATAATGCCCCTATATAAATCAATGGTGTGGCCTCATTTGGAATACTGTGTACAGTTCTGGTCACCACACCTTAAAAAGGATATTATAGCTTTGGAAAAAGTGCAGAAAAGGGCAACTAGAATGATAAAAGGGTTGGAACACTTCCCCTATGAAGAAAGGTTAAAGTGCTTGGGGCTCTTTAGCTTGGAGAAACGACGACTGAGGGGTGACATGATTGAGGTTTGTAAGATTATGCATGGGATAGAGCAGGTAGAGAAAGAGGTACTTTTCTCCCTTTCTCACAATACAAGAACTCATGGGCACTCCATGAAATTGTTGAGCGATCGGGTTAGAACAGATAGAAGGAAGTACTTCTTCACCCAAAGAGTGATTAACACATGGAATTCACTGCCACAGGAGGTGGTGGCGGGTACAAGCATGAATGGCTTCAAGAGGGAATTAGATAAGCATATGGAGCAGAGGTCCATCAGTGGCTATTAGCCACAAGGTATAGATAGGGACTCCGGGGCAAATGATGCTCTGTATTTTTGGTGCTGGGGGGGTCAATAGTGTGAGGGCTCCTAGTGTCCTGGCCCCACTGCTGGACCTCCTGATGGCACTGGTATTTTTGGCCACTGTGTGACAGAGTGTTGGACTGGATGGGCCATTGGCCTGATCCAACATTGGCTTCTCTTATGTGCTTATGATATTGCCATAGACTTTTTCTGTTTTCTACATTTAAAGTCTTTGCAAACCTTCACACTAACGTAAGGGTTTGTCCATTATAGTATTTATATCATGCTTAGTAACCCAAATCCTAATGAGTTTCTGCTGTTGGGTGTGGCCTATTATGCTAATGAGTTCCTGTTGGACGTGGCCAACTTGGGAGCCAGCCGGAACTCCGTTCCTGTGCGTTCCTGCCCCAAAATAGCCCTGGTAACCCAAGTTCTCAAGGTGACTCAGTTGAATGTATGAAACCATAATAAGATCTGTACAATGATTAAAATAAAAACCAGTTTCAAGACAAATATAATGGGCCCATGCTTTAAAGCAAAATAGAACAAACCTTCCTTTAAGACATTTATATGTTGTGCTCTCAGCCACACGGATGCTCAAGGTAACTCTCAGTTTTCATATGAAAGCAATATAACTATCAATAAACAATTATAATAACTAGCAGTAAAGTATTTAAAGGTTAAAATTAAAACAGCAGTAAAATGATAGTTACACTAAACAATGGAAGAACTCACAGGGTTTTTAAAAGGTCAGTAGCACAGACATTGTTAAAACCCAGTTAGCTGTAGTGGAAGATGTTAAAAAGAAAAACAGATTTTAGTTTTTTCGATTTTTCTTTCATGGAAATTATGAACAAAAAACATGTTCTTTGTCTGTGACCTGCAGCTTGAAAAGTTCATATGTTGGCGTCTCTTATTTCATGTTCAATACTTATATTTTGTATTGCTGTAAGACCAAAGAGCTGTAGCTGTTAGTTAAAGCATCAGTGTAGGCTGTAATCCTGTATACACTTAAATGAGGTAAGACCATGTAAATATCCTTACAGTTGTGCTACAGCGCACATAAAGAAGTTTTTTTAAATGAAAGACTTTCACACCAGAGTCTGAAGACCTGCTTAGGTGAATGAAAGGAATTTATTCTAAATGGAGTTGAATTTCTGTAGCCTCCCATACCGTATGAACAGTTTGTGCCTGATTACACAAGTACCTGTCTTCTCAAGGTATCAAAATGGACTATAATTTCTGTAGCCCTCATTCTCCCTATCAGTTTGGAGGAGTAAAAGGAAAAGTCTCTCTTAAGAGCTTGGACAAATCTTTAACCACCACCATATATATGGCAGATCTGGTGCTGGGCAAGCATCTAAAGAGGGCAATCAAGAATCTGGGTGCCACAGCTGAAAAGACCTTGCTTCTACTTGCTGCGTGCCTTACCCCTGAAAATGGAGAAAGATACATGAAATGATAATCTCAGTGGATAGGCAGGAACATATGGGAGGAAACAATCCATTAGACAATATGAAGATAGTTTCATTTATAATGTTTAAACAGTACATAATGTATCATTTCCTGGCACATTTCTCCAATATTTCACAATTGGTTCAGATGCATCAGTTTGGTGGTGGTCTAGTTGATGGTAGCCTTCCTGGAAAGTGAATTGGAAATGGATATTTTATTTAAAGTTTTATAAAATTCAGTACCAGGCTGGCCCTGATGGTGACTGAGGCAACACTGCTGTTAATCTCTGTTGTCTAAATTCCCCAGGTGGTAATATGTCACTTGCAAAATGCATTTCTGACCACTTGGGAGCACGCTTAAAACACACACACACACACACACACACACACACACACACACACACTTTCAATTAAAACAGTGACTAACAGTGCAATTCTGTACAGAGTTACTTCAGCCTAATACCATTAAAATCAATTGGCTTAAACTGGAGTAACTCTACACAGGATTGCACTGCACAGATCTTCAGTTGTACGTGTTAACTACTAAGTAGATGGCACATTA